GCGCTCTCCCCTCCCCACTCCCCTTCGATTCCTCGATTGCCCCTCGATTGAGCCCGTGTCCCACCGTTTTCACGCTATCACTCCTCCGGCCCGATACGACGACGACCAACAACTAACCCTGGCTAAAATTGGCCAGCCTCGGAGCCGAACCTGCTGAAGGTGCGACTAAAGCAACGCGTGGAGAGGAACATGGCCGCGTCGAGAAATTCACCGCTGATGGCACGCCGGAAGGATCGTCTGCTGTCGCACCTCAAGCGGAAATCACTGCTAGCAAGTATGTCGTCCTTCGATCGAGCTTAATCGAAATGTCGAGTTGTCTTGTCGACAATCTCTCTCTCTCTCTCTCTCTGCGTTCTTGCGTGAGCATATCAGTAAACCGATTACGTTGCACCCACGATTTCTGTTTTCGATTAATCGATCTTGAATTGACTTTTTTTTCCTTTTTTTTTTATTTTTTTTTTCCTTTCTTTTTTTTTTCCTTGCCTTTCTTTGCCAGTGTCCAGTAACAGCATGTCGACAACAAACGTTTACCGATTAACATTACACTTTGTTTATTACGTTGGCATTTCGCTTTCGTTCTCGAGACCGAGATTTCGAGAGAGAAGATTCGCGTCTTCGTCGTCGTCGTCGTCGTCGTTGTCGTCGTCGTCGCCGCCGTTTTTCGTTTCGTTTTCGCGTCGGCGACGAAACGAAACGAAGCGACGGAAATTGGGGAAACGTGCAGCGGTAGTCATCGTGCGTTTTCCTCAATTCTCACAACGAGTCTCGCGAGTACGCGAGACCAGTTGCTCGTGGCCAGGCATCTCTGTCGCCCACGTAGATATCGCCGCTCGCTGATCGAACGCTTTCCAGATTCTAGCAGCAATCCGGAGTCTGGGCCTAATTCACCACCGACCGTGAACAACTCTCAAGCGAGCCCCACCGCCGGTGGAAACGCAGCGGCAGCCATCCAAGAAGTGAGTACGCGCCGATTTGTAACAACGTCGCTTGCAAACTCCTCTTCTCTTCTCTTCTCTTCTCTTCTCTTCTCTTTCTTACTCTCGTTCGTTCGTAGGAGACGGAAAACACCGGGTACGGCGGTCCGTTGACCAGCAGCAGTCAGCAAGGTAGCCTCTCGGATCTGTCGCTGTTCAGTTCACCGTCCATGCCCAACATCTCGCTGGGACGACCTCACGTTCCATCCGGTTCCAGCACGGTGAGTAACCCAGAGATTCCCAGAGAGAGAGAGAGAGAGAGGAGTGATCTCGACTGTGCTCGGCAGACCGGCACGAAATTGGCCACCGTCTCGGAAGCGGAGGTGCGCGCGGCGTTCACCGCGCGGCTAGGGATGCCCCTCACCGGTCAAATGTTGCCCGGCACTTTGCCCTTCTATCCATCGTTGACGGTGATCGAAGGAGGAGGAGGAGGAGGAGGAGGAGGAGGTGGAGGAGGAGACGTCGCGACGCCGGGCTACGTTCACAAGCAGATGCAAAACCTGGAGCATCCGTCGATAACGAACCGGCAACACCCGTCCGCGGTTTATCACGGTACTGCGACTGCAGCGGCCGCCGCCGCTCCTATCACGGACACGCAAGTAGCGCACGCCAGGCTGCAAAAGGCTGGTCACCGGCCTTTAGGTAGTATGTTCTCTCTTCTTTCTTCTTCGCCGACCGATTTCTTTCTCACGGCACGCGTTCGCCCGCCCTAACACCATCACACCATCTGGCAAGTGACAACAATTGACACTTGCCACCGATCGAATCTTTAATTTCGGATGGATAGGTGGGGGGTGGACGTGTGTCGTCAGGGATCGCGATCGCGGATAAACCGAGCCCGACACTTTGCTCACGCGTTCCTTTCGCTCGTTGCTCTCGTTGGGTCACAGGCAGAACTCAATCCGCCCCGTTGCCGTTGGGTCATCCGATGCTGCAGGGCGGCATCATCGCGCCGCAAACCCACTACGAGGAGTATCTGACGGAGAAGCAACTGCACGATCAACAGCAGCAACAGCAACAGCAGCAGCAACAACAGGCGCACAACTATCTGAAACAGCAGATTAGACAAACGGTGTTGACGCGGGTCGGATCCCGGGGCCAGACGAACCAGCTGGACGAAGCTCCGGAAACGGACGAGTCCGCCGAGGTGATCGACCTCACCGGAGGGAAGAAGGAATCGTTGTCGGAAGAGAGCGAGATCTCGAAGCAGCAGAGGGATCGCGAACAATTTCTTCAACAGCAGAGGGATCTGATGATGAGACACACGTTGCAGATGTCGAACGAATCGTCGACGGCCTACGGTAGCAGCGGCGGCGGTGGTGGTGGTGGCGGTGGTAGTGGTGGTGGTGGTAGTGTTGGTGGTGGTGGTGGTGGTAGTGGTGGCGGTGGTGGCGGTGGCGGCGGTGGCGGTGGCACCGTCGTCAGCGTCACCGGTAGGAGCGGTCAAGTCAGCGCCAGACCCCTCTCCAGAGCGTTGTCCAGCCCGTTGGTTCACTTGGGTAAGTTTGCCCCTCGTTTCCTCGTTTCGACGTTACTCTGACCAAAGCATCGAACGCTGCTT